AACGGGTTTCTTGCGCAAAAAGAGCCTATCACAAAAAGCACAGGTGCTCTGATAGCCATTCTGTGAATGGCAATCAGAACTTTCTTGCGCAAGAGTGTCCATGCAGTGTGGATGCTCTCTTGTGCAAAAGCACATGGCTTTTGCGATGTGCTTTTGAGATGTGGACGCGCTTTTGCGCAAGAAGTTTTTGCGGAAGATCTCTTCCACAAAAAGTTTCTTGTGCAAAAACCCTGCAGTGTAGACAAAGCCTCTGGGTGTACCAGCTCCTAGAACTGGATGAATGAATCTAAACAATTTTACTCATCTGTATGAATACTTTGTCCTAAATAGCAATTAAATGGTTAATATGCTCTTTTAACCAGTAGTAATGGCTAACTATTTCTTGTCTGTCCAAATGTCTCAAAAGGCAAGTAAAATCCAGGTAAGCATGAAAACAAACATATAGCTTCTGGCTATTTCTTAGTAACCAAGTAACAATTAGGCAAGCATTCAAAATTCTAATCAGTTTAAATAGATGGAGTTCCCACAGTAGAGGTTAGGAAGAACAATAAGTAATTGTGTACAACACCAAAATAGAGGGAGAAAACATCTGAAGGTGTTAAAAACCAACTTAATGAAAAGTACTAAGTTGTTTTATTTTGAATAAAACAACAAAGTTGCTGTAAAATTATTGTATGTATTATCTTGTAAACATGTGATACTTGCCTTAACGTAAAGCAACCAACTGTCTGGTCCTATATGCCACCATTCAATTTAATAACAAAAGCTTTATATTCTAAGAGACATCTGTTGCAGTGAAATTCATTTTCAAAAATCCAGAAAAAAAACAGAAGTAAGACTTAGTCAATTACATGCTCATAATAAAGTATGAGTCAGCTTAAAGGGATTTTTAGCAAAGGGATGTAATTGACATTGGAGGTGATCCAATAAGAATTTTCTCTACTGTATTTGAACATATTCTAAATATGGTTATCCCAGAGACCCAATGAGATAAAAACTTTCTCAAATGAAAGATAAAAATGTCATAACGCAGCCATTATGAAAGTGCCCTTTAGTAACTTTTTATAAGGTATTGCACAGGCTTCTATTGAAAACATTTTGCTTTCCTTTGTATTGTGAGATCACTAATGTAATGATAGGGCAAACAGAGTGTTGATTACAAAAATAAAAGGAGCATGAAAATTCTTCCCACTTTATGGTGAAAAATATATCTCCAGATGCTATGAATTAAGACATTAAAAGGCAAACTTAGCTCCCACTTCCACAGCTGCTGAAGTTCACAGGAAGCAAACTGGTGTATCCATTTTGTTAGAGGGGGGTTGATTTGAGGAAGTTCTTTAAAGTTTGCACAGTACTGCACCTATGGAGACCAGCTTAGCAAGGGCGCCTGTCTGGGCATATGTAGGGTGTGGGTAAAGGAAAAGCAGTGATGGACACAGAAGATATGCATTAAGCCTCCACTCATCTTCTAACAGTGGGGATATATTAGAGGTACAGAAGAAAATTGTTCCACCCAGGCCTGCCAATGGGGGAAAAGAGAGGGGACAAAAGGGGCTATTGCCCTGGGGCCCAGTAATTCAAAGGGACCTAGGGTTATTTGCTGCCACCACCACTGCAATAGCAGTGTTGGTGGCTGGAACCTCAGGCCCCTTAAATTGCTGCTGGAGCCACTCCAGGTGGCTCTAACGATTGGGGGGCCAGTGTGGTGCACTCCGAGCAGCACAGAGGACTAGCTGCCCTGCCCTGCTCACGGCTCTGCCGCTTCCCAGAGTGCAGAGCCAGGGCCCCCCACCTTGACTAGGGGCCTGTGGTGGCTGTTGGTGCCCTTGGCTTCACCTGTTGGGTTGAGTGGCCTACTGGATGAACTAGACAGCCCGTAGGAGTAGATGCCTGTCTTCTTTCCCCTGAACAACTTTCCAGGACCTAGTCCAGCTATTCAGGTTTGGGGCTGGGTTGAAGATTTGGCCCAAAATAGATAGGTATAAGTATAATTAAATGTAATTAAAAATTATAGCTTTGAAAAAGTCAGGTATCCTCTCAAACCCTTTAAGTTATATTCTAATGCTTGGCATCAGTAAAAACAAAATGAACAGACTTTGATGGACTTTTGTAGCATTTCACAGTCCTTTTACTTTATCAATGATCTTTTAGGTATAGCTGCCCATTCATTCCCCTTTTTGGATCTCTCTAAGGCAGGGGTGGGGAAACTTTTTGGGTTGAGGGCCGCTGATCCACAGAAAAATCAGTCAGGGGCTGCACACAAGTGAGAAACAAAAAAAAGAAAAACAAATCCTCACTGATGTGGCCCCTGGCTAAGAAACAGAAAGACACTCTGCACATTCCCCTCACACACCAGAGCCTAGTGGGGTTAGTCTAGTAGATTTTGTGTGCTCCAGGCAACAGGGGGGCTGGAGCACTAGCACAGGCTCCCAAATGCTGGGGGGAGAGTCCTGAGGCTTGCGGGCTGGATCCAGGCAAACCGGGAGCCGCATCTGGCCCCTGGGCCTTAGGTTTCCCACCCCCGCTCTAAGGCCAATCAGACTCCTCACGCAAACCAAAAACATGTATCTATTTAACAGAGTACACATCTAAAACAGAACGTTTTGGGATAACGTTATCATGCATATAAAACAGCATTATTGGGGGTGTCAGGCATATGCATATGGACAGACTTTTTGGAAGAGTTTGCATGGGTTTTGTGGTTTATTAGAGTTTCTGTGGCTGAGTATTGATACCTGATTCTCCTCCACATCCTATTTTTACATAAGTTGTTAGAGTTTGAAATTGTTATCTTGGACTTAAAGATAGTGGAACACTTCCAGGTAAGTAAACACAGCAGCAGAGAAACTATCTCTTCTACCGCTAACAGTTTGAAGTAAGTGACAATTTTAGCACCGCAAAGTAATTCATAAAATGCTGAACACGGCATTTTATTCCTTAACCCGGGACAAAAAGCAAATTAAAAATTCAGATCTATAAACTAATGGATTGTGGACTTAACTTCTGTCCACAATAATTTATTTACTGTTGCAACTGAGAAACAAGAAAAATCTAGAACAGAGTGGTAATTAGAGAATAAGACCAGAGTTCAGAATCTTGTGATTTTTAGGAATTCTAGCATGAACATGCTACTTTGTCTTTTTTTATTAAACAGATTGATTCAATTAATGCTACTTCTTGGTTAAAAAGGTAGCCCAGCTATGTAGAAATAGCCTCAGAGACTAACAAAAAATATATGTAGTATCATGGGCTTTCGTGAGCAAAACATTAAACATTAGAGTGCATTTCCCTGTCATGGTGTATCACTTCCTAGGACCTGTTGTTCAAGCCCCCATTCTCTTCTATGAGGCTTGTCTTCCTGGCTGGACTACATTTCCCCTGATGCAATGCAGACTCCCCTCTATCCAAGCAACATACCAACCAAGGAACTTGGCCAGGAGAGGAGAATGGGGGTATATCAACAATGACAACTCCCAGAAGGCCAGGTGCCACAAAAGAGAAATGAAACTCAAAACAAAGGTTTTGGGCCAGTTCAACAAAACAAAATGAAATATTTTCATTTGTGGATGTCAAAATGTTTCCTTTTTAATTGAGAATCTCAAAATGAAAGTTTCTGCCATTTCTTAAGTTTTTTCAAAATATCTGATTCCACAATTTTTTTGACATATTAACTTTTTTACCTGATTTAGCATGAATTCAAATGTTGAAATATTGGAACTTCCCATCAGTGTTCCCCCTCAGCTGCAGGACAGCACAGTTTCACAGTTGATTAATCAGTCCTAGCCAGTGAGTCAGCGCCATGTAGGGTTGCCAGGTGTCTGGTTTTCTACTGGACAGTCCGGTATTTGCACCCTCTGTCCGGTAGAAAAATTCAGAAAAAAACAGACATGTGCAATGTCCGGTATTTTCTGAATTCCCGGCTGGGCGCCGGACGGAAGCCTGGTGGGGGCGGGGGAGGGACTGGGAGGCAGAGCGCGATTGGTGCTAGGAGCTTGTGGTCACGTGCAAAAGGC